GCTGGAGGAGGACTGGAGCTCACAAGGGTTGCTTGGAGGCCTGGAGATCCCAGGCGTGTTCAACGTGCTCCTCAGTGACCTGGGGGGAAGGGACAGAAGGGACCCTCAGCCCCTTTGCTGGTGGTACAAAAGTGGGAGGAGTGGCTGGAGCAGCAGAGCTGTGCTGCCATTCAGAGAGACCTGGACAGGGTGGAGAGTTGGGTGGTGAGGAAGCTCATGGAGTTCAACCAGGGCAAGTGGAGGGTGCTGCATCTGAGGAGGAACAACCCCCTGCAGCAGGACAGGGGAGGGGGGACCTGCTGGAGAGCAGCTCTGTGGAAAGGGACCTGGGACTTCTGGGGGACAACATGTTGCCCGTGAGCCAACAATGGGTCCCCATGGCCAAGGAGCCCAGAGGGGTCTGTGGGTACATTGAGATGAGTTCAGAGGTTCTCCTCCCCCTCTACTCTGCCCTAGGGAGGCCACCTCTGGAGTACTGGGTCCAGTTCTGGGCTCCCCAGTTTAGGAAAGGCAAGGAGCTACTGGAGAGAGTCCAGTGGAGGCTCCAAAGCTGCTGAGGGGCTGGAGCATCTCTGTGCCAGGACAGGCTGAGAGCCCTGGGGCTGGTCAGCTGGAGAAGACTCAGAGGGGATCTGATCAGTGCTGAGCAAGAGCTAAAGGGCCCCAGGGGGCAAGAGGCTGGGGCCAGACTCTGGTCAGTGGTGCCCAGGGACAGGACAAGGGGCAACGGGCACCAACTGGAACCCAGGAGGTGCCACCTGAGCAGGAGGAGAAACTTCTTTGGGGTGAGGGTGGAGCCTGGAGCAGCTGCCCAGAGAGGCTGTGGAGTCTCCTGCTCTGGAGAGATCCCAAACCCACCTGGGTGTGACCCTGGGCACCCTGCTGTGGGTGACCTGCTGGAGCAGGGGGGTGGGATGAGATGATCTCCAGAGGTCCCTTCCCACCCCACCACGCTGGGTTTCTGTGATACCCTGTGGCACACCCTAATGCATGCCCTGTTGCATGCCTTGTGGTGCACCCCTGCAGGGTTTCTTCATCATCTCTTGATGCCCCAGGAATGGCCCTTCCTTGAGTCTTCCTTGGTGCTTTGCTCTGGTTGTAGAAACCTGAGTTGAATCCTCTGGTTTTTGCCAGAGATTGCATTTGGGTTTTGGTGGGTTTGAGATGGTCAGTGTGACCTCTTCTGGAAGGACTCAACCATGAAGGTGGCCAAAAACCTTTTGTTGTCAGCCAAGGCAGAGGATGGAAGAAGAAAAGATGAGGTTGGATCCCTTCTTGGGATGTAGATGTGCTCTCCAGA